AACTGGAAAACCCTGCAGACCCCCAAATGATGATCAATCCATTCCAGCTTGACCCAGCAACAGCAGCAGCTTTGGCACCAGGACTTGGTTAGTATTTATTTGTTTCTCACGCTGTGGTTGTGTGTCGCCCCTTCTCTCTCATTATTGTTAGTTTCTAGTGACTGGGCACAAACCTTTAAAACTAGCTTAAATCCTAGATCTTGATTGGGTGAGATGACCCCACTGCTGAGTGTTAAATGCTAAGGCATTGATGGCAGCTTAACAAAAAGGACCTTCTCCTTAAACTAAATAACCAAACCATTTCTGCTTCTACTTTTAAAAAATTAATGTAATTTTAGAGAGAAAGTAATTAAGAGATGAATGAAAAAATAATCAAGGTCAGCAAACTTTATGTCTCTAACTTAGTTGACTAAAAATGGCTAATTTATATTAAATATATGCAGATGTTTATCTAATGTTAAGAAACTATAACTTTAATTAGGATATCCCTTGACTAAAATGCTGAAATTGAAATAGAGTTGGTTTTAAACAGCCACACCACCATCTTCTTCTTATTCATTATTAAGCACGTATTTTAAAGTCTCTAACTCAAGATCATTAAACTGGTAAAAAAAAAAACACAAAATGTTACCACATTCTAATTAGTTACCATAAGCTTGCATGCATATCTGTGTATCATATCTGTGTATATGTATACAAATAGTGAACTAATTTAATCAGCTTATAAAATATATCACACAATAAATAGTATTTATATAAATTAGTCCAAGACTTTTAACTTACAAGAGAGTTAATTTTTTGTTACTTTATTGATCAACTTTCTTGCTTTTGAAAATACAAATTTCAGAATGACATCATGCCCAGTAGGAGTAATTAAAGCTATCTGATGAGGGAATTTAGAAGTTGAAAGGGATGATTGTAATTGATCCTGATTCAATCCTATTACAGCTTTTTATAGTTTAAGCTCTAGAGAAAGCAAACTCCTTGTCAAGACTTTATTTTACAGATTCCTTTGTGTGTACTATGTTTTCTGGTCTCTATTTTCCCTTTTAATTTTTTTTTCCTGTAGTAAATAATGAGCTGCCGCCTGAAATCCGGCTTGCCAGTGGTCAGCTAATGGGTGATGACCTGTCCCTCCTTACTGCAGGAGAGCTGTCACCTTATATCAGTGACCCAGCGCTGAAGCTATTCCAGTGTGCTGTTTGCAACAAATTCACCTCTGACAGCCTGGAGGCCCTCAGTGTACATGTGAGCAGTGAACGCTCTCTCCCTGAAGAGGAGTGGAGGGCTGTAATTGGAGACATCTACCAGTGCAAGCTCTGTAACTACAACACTCAGCTCAAAGCCAACTTTCAGCTTCACTGCAAGACTGACAAACATATGCAGAAATATCAACTGGTGGCTCACATTAAAGAAGGGGGCAAAACGAATGAGTGGAGGCTGAAGTGTATCGCCATTGGCAACCCAGTTCACCTAAAATGTAACGCCTGTGACTACTACACCAACAGTGTGGATAAATTGCGCTTACATACCACCAATCACAGGCACGAAGCAGCCCTGAAACTATACAAGGTAAGCAGTGACATCCATTTCAGTTGGCACAAAGTAGAGAAAGAAATTAACTGTTTCAAAGCTTGCAGCACAAACCTTCAAGGAAAGAACAAATTAAAGGATGGAGTAACATGTTTTCTGGTTAACAGTACTAAAATCATACTTCTTAGTCATGGTACATGGAACTTGAAGAATTTGTTCAAGAAAACTATTTAATGTCCAGTTACGTGTGTTCCTTTAGTGCCAATTGGATTCTTAGCTTCCCAAGATAAAATGGCTTTTCCATATAGTTTCATAGTCGATAGGGTTTGTATGGTTTCTTCCTTTTTTTTTTTTTTTAACGGCAACTTTGTTAGCTAGATATTTATTGACTGAGAGCAAGGTGGGGGTGGGGAGTAGAAGGGAAAATCCATGTTCTGAGTCGGGAAGACATCATCTTTTGGCATATAAGCCTGTTGACAAACATAATCTATCAAAACATGACTGTTATCCTCCGTGTTCACAGTAACACAGAGTAAACATACTCTCACAGAGCTTTATTAGAAAGTGTTCAAAAGTAAACATTGTCATCATTTCACATGCCTCTGTCCCAAGCCAGTCATGCTTTTTATTTTATTTTATTTTTTTTGCAGACATTAAAGGGTGTGGTGTCAATAAATATGTTCAGATTGTGGCAAATGTATTTTTATCTTTACTGGAAAAGACTATGCAGATGTGATGAATATGTGCAAGTGATGAACACCATTTATTACACAACTTGTCATGACTTTTTCCAAACCCTAATTACTGGGTAATTTATTCTCTGCAGTGTGTTTACTGGATTGGCTTGATTGTCTTGGTTCATATACAAATGTAACACATCCATTTCCATGATGAATAACTTTGTAACTTATTAAAAACTTCTTTTGTCTAGGGGATATTAAAATTCAGGAAATATTGCAAACCATTAGTCATTGTAACAAGCTCAAAATATGATTACAAAATCCATTTTGCAAGTGTTATCTATTGATTTATACTAGAAATCAGTGATAACTAAACTATCAGGAGTCAACTACTGATTACAATACCTATGCGTTTTGAAATCATATTTTTAAAATAAACACGAGAGGGGACAAACTGTGGATTTCTACCTTGGCTACAAACATTCTTAATTTTGTTGGTTTTAGTTCTACTCATGAGGCTAGGTTTTTTTCCCCCCCTTGTCTGAAGTTTTATTAGAGGTAGAAATACTACACATGGTGGTATGGACCTAGTGTCTGAATTTGTATCGTCTTTTCTTCAATATCAATGCTTTACAGATCAGGAATGAAAGTGTTAGACTTGGCTTATAGTACTTGAGAGAAGAAGGCCTCAGCATAAGATGGAAGTTTCCTAAGCTTATGACATTAAAAACAAAATACAAAGGAGGAACTGTATTACACTTCAGTGATTTTGGTTAGTTGATGAAAGTTTGATTGTAAATGTCTTTCTATTGCTAGTTCAAAGTATTAAAATTTTCAGAATACCTAGGAGAAGAAAAATATTAATTTTGTATAAATAATAGCTCTAGGCCCTGGGAGTCATATAGAATATTCATGAACTGTGTTTACACTCAAACAGCACGCTCCTCTAACAATTAAGTTAACTTGCTTGGCACATAAGATGGAAATGTATGAAATTTTCGATTTTATTAATATCATATGGAAGCTTGAAGAATGGCAGAGTGATGGTGTTTTCTTTTTTCTTAAAATTTTTTGAAGGTGTCTTACTTAGATAGAATAATATAGAATGTCAAAGTTGGAAGGAACCTCAGAGATCAGGCTAGTCCAACCTCCTCATTTTAGAGAGAAGTGAACAGTTCTTACAGTCATTGACCATTCTTTGTAGAAGATGCCTTCATAGATTTCACTGCAGGGACAGTTTGCTATTGTCTTTGAATGTTTACCAGCTATGAAGGGCTAAAGAGGATGACTGTTTGCAAGCATAGATTTAAAAGCTGTAAGGGAAATCAGAGTTTGTTAGGTGGAAAAGTAACTGACTACTTTAAGATAAATTTTTTTCACAATATTGCAAAGTAAAAAGAAAAGATAGTCTTGCCCTCCTGCATTATTCATTTTATTATGATTTTTAAAAAAATGTCTAGCTTTCTTATTACTGTATCATTCAAGTACATCTCTTAGTATGGTAATGCCAGTGGGGTGGCAGGGAGTGGAAGAGGGAAGGGAACAATCTTCCTTTTAGTGACCATAGTTTCAGTTGTGGATTTTGGGGGGGGGGGGAAGCCCTTGTAGTCAGTCTATTAAAATGTGATATTAGAAAATTATGCCATAATCTTTTACTGTAGCCAATAAGAAGTATTTAATAACTATTAATAAAGGGGGGGAATGCTCCATAGCAACTAAGTGCATTTCCATTTATCAAAAAGTTGAAGTTTTCCAGGTTTAGAAAGCTTCAGTGTTAGTAATGGTGCTGTACGTATTATTGTAACTGTCCCTCTGTCCCTTCATTGCATACATCCGTACATCTCTACCTACCTAGGCCATTTTAAGGATGCCATTTTCCACTGTAATTTGTTCTCCTTTTGAATGATGGCAGCTCTGTGTGGCAGCCAGACGTGAAGTCATTGTCAAGCAAATCAAGGACAATAGAAACAGAAAGCTTAGTGGCCTTGTGCCCAAAAATGTAATTGGTTGATAAGTAATAATAATTTTAATTGAGAAAATCTGGACAATAACAAAAAAGCAATAATTTATAAGAGAAAATATGGGTAAAACATCAAAATTAGACTTAAGGTAGTTTCTTATTTGATGATCTATAATTACATTAGAGTTCAGGTGCTGAATTCATAATGGTATTCACATATCAGATTAGTTAGTTAAATTTTAAAGAAAAAAAAAAAATGAGAATCAGTATTTACCAAAGGCGAATACTGAGCTATGAATAGACTTCTCTTACTTTTTCTCTTATTGACAATGTATTGATTTAGAACACTATAAAGACTATAATTTGTCAGTTCAACTTGAATAGATCACTTCTCCTGCTCTCCAACTAAAGTATTACCTAAGAGAAGTGTGTAACCTAATTCTAGTTTAAGGAGGTTAAAGGTTAAAGGTTAGTCCTAAAGCATCATCTGCCTAGCTGCTTAACTTTAAAATGATCAATTTAGTGAAAATCTGTTTTACAGATGGTGTTTTAATGTCTTTGGCAGGATTTAGGCAGCTTAAACATTAGACGCATGCTAGTAAAAATTATTTCTTTATTTGACCAGAAAAACACCTTTTCTTTTATGTTTAAGGTAAAAGGCATGTGGGATATGGTATTTTGGCAAAGGACCCAGAGGCAGAAAGTGTTGATGATCTTTCCATATGGGCTCAAAAACAGAATACCTTTATGTCTGTTGCTAACGATGACAGGAAAAAAAAAACAAGCATAGCTGTATTCAGGTTTTGGCAATAATATTTTACTTTGAATTTATTTATTTATATTTTTAAAAAGGAAAAGCAATTTTGGTCAAACCTTCCTCAAGAAAAAAAAAACCTTTTGTTTTATGGTAGAACTTTCTGAAGTACAAAGCATTATATTTTTCTAATTTAAAAAGATAACATGACCTAGGTGAGCTTTCCTCTGGAAAGCTAGTATGAAACAAAGTTGAATCATGAAATAAAACTTATACAAAAGAAATTTAGAGTCACCTTAATTTCAATTTCAACTTTTTCATGAATACATTTAAAATAAAATTGATAAGTACCAGTACGAAAATATAATCTGCTTCATTAGTAAATCTATTTTATATTTAGGAATTTCTTAAGTCTTTAATGCATGAGTATTTTCAACTTAACAGTTTTCTAAACTTGGTTGCATTCATCTAATGGCAAACATAAGCATATTGGTGTCATGTCTTGTTAATTTTCCCATTGTTGTTTTCCCTCCAGCCCCTACTAGAATAAGCTTCACGTATCCTGCACCAAAATATTTAATTAGTGAATAAATCAATAAGTAAAAATGTTTCCACAAAATAAATCTTCCATTTTTATAACAGCAATTATGTGTTCTATATATCACAAATCATCACGAACGTTTCCAAAGAGCCCAATAAAAAAACATAATAACAAATGCACAATTTTAGATAGTTAAACTAAAAGAACAAAGGAGGCTCTTGCAATATTTTACAGGTTGGATTTAGAGTCCAGCCTTCTGTCGGTTGGGGTCAAGAATTTTCATGGTCAGCTGGTAGATCTTCCTTTCTATGCAGGAAATGCAAATACCATGCAGCACCTGCTCTTCAGCTGAACTTATACTATTTTTTAAAGTGAGGTGTCCACTGATTTTCTCCTTCAAAAATCAAAAGTTTAATTACAGTACAGTGCTCCCTTATATCCCTTCTCCCCCTTTTTTTCCATTTGAGAGAAGTGAAGCAGACTAGTCTGTCTGGATTCCATAATGGTGTTTGCATATTTGTATTTTAAATCAACTGGGAATAGTGAACGCATAGATTGTCTCTATCATGAGCAAAGAAACCCAAGTGGGATTTAATCCTTAGGTAACTTTATAGTGAAACATTCCCCCAAGGAACATTTTTGGGGTTTTCTCATTATCCATGTTATGGATGAAAGAACTAGGGTTAAGAACTAGAAATCGAGGACCAAGCGAGAATGAGAGGAGGTGTGTTGGAGAAAGAATGTAAGAAAGGAAATCAAAGTGGCACAATTAGCTCTAACCACCTTATTTGCTTTTTCTAATATGAAACAATGATAACCTGATCAGTTTAGAACTAACAGGGAGTCACAAGTATTTTCATTTCAATAGGCTTATGTCTAACTTTGTAATTCAAAATCAAATATACCAGATATGTGCCATTCCAATTATTAAACTGTCATTGTCCCAGTATGATGGCAAAAGAGGTCAAGAGATTGTGTGTCACATATTTGCGTAAAAATCATCATGCAGAAGGAAATTGGAATGTCTGTGCATCTAAGAAACCAAAAACAAGTTTCACTTAATCTTATTGCAGCCATTTGTTTAGATGAAGAAAGCTGTTTTCA